TCCACAAAACCAGCCCCCTCCCAAGCCCCCCCCCCCCCCCCGGCCCTCCCACCAATTTTTTCAGGGTTATTGTCTCCCCCTCAAGTGGCCAAACAAGACTTGTGAAACTGAGTTACATAAACTGCTCTTGGTCCCTGAGAGGACTGGTCATTCCATCGGTACTTGATGGTTTCCTCTCTGCTGCTGTGAGCAGGTGAAGCTCAGGTGTTTTCTTCTTCACATACACCGGCCTGGTGGTCACGTGTTCCAGGACCAAAACAATCTTACAGATGACAGGCAGGTGAGGGATGAAGACCGCTTCAGTCTGGTTCAAACACTGCTAGTGACGTGTATTCACGTTGTCACGATTTTTCAATCTGACGTTCAATTGCGCCCTCTTGTGTACGAACCTATTTACGTCACATGGAAGTTGTGAAAACACCACAGACAAACGGTCGCTGGTGTCACGTTTCATCCTGGTGTCAGAGCAGGAGAAACCTGATGAGGAACCCACGACGTGTAGCAGAACTGCTGCTCCAACTCTTGTCTGTCTTTATTGACTTATGGTATTTGTACATTGCCACAGTGATCAATAACAAATATGAGGTCTGATATGCAGGCTCCACACTGCCGTCACTAACAAGGTTCATTTCAAAATCTGAGGCAATGATGTTAGTTGGGGAGTGGCCTCAACTATTAGCAGAACATAATCAATTTCGTTTCCCCATCCATGGATTTATATACCTAGGAATTATAATAACCTCTGAATGATTGCACCTGTATAAGGATGATTATGGTTAAACTATTGTGCAAAATAAAAAACGATCTTAAAAATTGGGAAATCCTATAAATAAATAAAATCAATAAAACCAATACCATTTGGATATGAAATACTCAGGAACATGAATCAAGTTAGAACTGGGAAGAAAGATTTAATGTCTTTTGAACAACTTAAAAACAAATATGATGATCTTCCAGCCCACCATTGTTTTTGGTATCTACAACTTAGACACTACTCACGGACACGTAAAGAGTGGAAAAAAGTGAGGGTCCTACCATCTATAATATAGAGAGCTTTTTTATATTGATAATTAAGGGATCTAATAAAAAGGAGATCATATTACACATTTATAAAATATTACAGAAGGAGTCAGAGGTCAACAGTTTGGACATTAAGGACAAACGGGAACTAGAGATGAAGACCATTATCACAGATGAAGACTGGACCCAGAACAACATGTGAATGGAAAGTTAAGGTGTGAAATTTTAGGACTCCCTTTCTCACTTCTAAATTCAATAACACATCTAATCAATGTTGGAGGAGCTGTGGCACAACAGGAGACCATACCCACATGACTGTCCAAAAGTATCAGAGTAAAAAAGACAGAACACAGAAATGTTTAAGCACAGATGTGCCATATAAACCATTGGGAATCACAGCATAAAGGACGACAATAAGGTTTTAATATTAAGAGTCCTTCTTTCAACTGTTAGGAAGATGATAAGGGTCTCCTCCACTAAAACCACAGCCCCCCCATCCCCCCCATAACACAATGGAAACAAAGAGTAAAAGAAGTGTATCACGTGACATTCATAAGTGGAAAATTAACATTAAGAATGAGTGTTCTTTGACCAAATGACTCCAGATTTAGGATTCTTTCTTTTGTTAGCTGGTTATGTATAATTGCCATATGCTGATGGCTGACAGACTCTGTATTGTATATTTCCTGTATGCTAACTTGTAACGTGTAATGTATTACAAAATGCCCAGAAAGACATAATTGTATTTTCATTGACATTTGACTGCAATTTAAAAAAACTAAACACCTACTAGAGTGAAATAAAAAGAAGTTAAACAAACCCAGGTTACTTTGACTGTTTAACTCCAAGGTTTGAACAGTTCTGTCTGGGACCAGAACCCAGAGTCTCACCACAGACAACAGTAATGTTTCACCACAACAGACAGTGTGTGACGCAGGGTTCAAACATGAGACAGAAGAAGGTGATGTTTTTACATCCGTCTAGACACAGGTGAGGTCACAGCAGGCAAAGGGTTAACTCCATAACAGACGTGTGTGAAGTTAGAACTTGACTGAGGAGATAAAAGAGGAGGAAATGATGGAGGAGGAGGAGGAGAAACTGAGCTCCATCTGCTCCTCCCACCAAAACACTGTGAACAAACAACACATTTAACCCCACGGTTCAAATGTCAAAGGTCTGGCTGTGTGTACGTGTGTGTGTGTGTGTGTGTGGTGATTAACATGCTAAGAATTAGACCTTTATCCATTCCACCGCTGCTTTTCTCCTTCATAATCAGAGCATAAACCCTAACACACACACACACACACACACACACACACACACACACACACACAGACCTTCCAGTAGAAACATAGTTAATATAAGTGTGTGTACAATAAACATCAGCATATATAATGAGTTCAATAATAATTTTGGTCTTGTTTTTGTTCAGACTGATCAAGCTATGGTTCGTGGTCTACAACAGGGTCGACTCCACTCACACACACACACACTCTACTACAGTCTAAGGTCAGTATATACCTGACTGTGCTGGTGGAGGCCTTACCCAGGTATTTGATGGTGAATCCTCGAGGAGGATTGAGGGACCTCCGCATCCATCCTTCCCTCAGCACCTCCAGGTGGTCCTCCTTCCCCTGGATCAGCAGGACGTGCTCGTCGATCCAGCCCAGGAAGAAGGTTTCGGAAACCGCGTCGGTAATCCGCTGGTTCCAGACGTGCTGTTGTGTGTTCTCCGCTTTGAAATCGGCGAATATCTCGTAGCCAGTGTGGTGCCTGGGCAGCTCTTCGCTCTCCGACACCCCGGCCACCCCCACCGCCTCCCCAGCCCCGACCCTGGTCAACACTATGGCCAGGGAGTGGGGAGCGATCTGCAAGAAAGACTCCATGGCGGTGCGGTGTTCTAGCGCTGCGGCTGAAGCACGGCTGTCATTGCTGTGACCGCGCAGACAGCTCGGTGTCCATCAAACATCCATATCCAACACAACACTGAACTCGTCGCTGTCCTTCCGTCCAGCTAACACGTTAGCTCTGACGTCCGACCATTGGCTGCACCTTCGGTGTCCGTCCTCACTCGACCAGATGAATGCCCCCCCCTCCCCGTCACCGACCCCGGTATTTCCTAAAGGTTCCAGCGGATCCCCGTCCACGGTTGATACAAGCTGACATTCGTGTTTTCGGGTGAAATCCTCGCGGTCATTGTAGCTTTGTAAAGGAGCAGCTAGCTGCTAGCTGGATGCTAACGTGTTAATGAATTCACCCAGGCAACAGATACTGCCCCCCTCCTCCCCCTTTCCAGCTTCCAGCAGCAGCCCGCTCTCCTGGGACCCACCTGGATGTGAAGAAATCTATTTCTCCTCTATGGGCTCGTCGGCGGACGATGTCAGCATCCACAGCAGTCGGTGTCGTGTCCGCGGCCCGATTCGTCTCGCTCGCCCCGCAGTGAAGACGTGTTAGTGGCGGGGTGTAGAACACTATCATCCAGGTACAATGGCAGCGCACCGAGCTCCGCTAAAAACGGAGGAGGGATTATTCAGTACCACAGGCTGCGCTTCTAGGAGTCTTGTTTTTGATGATGGCACCACCTAGCGTTTTTCAGCCAACGGGTTCGGCTGCAGCGTGTCTTGTTCATCGACGGAAGTGATCGGACGTCAATGTTAGCGTTTGACGTCCTGTCCGAGCTGTGATGACTTTAAATGAAATGTGAAATAAAAACGTTCATTAACCATTCACACTGACATCCCGATCTAAATGTCAGTGTGAACTGTTCACTGCTTCATACTTCAACATTGTCACTCTTACCAAACTAGTCAACTACTGGATTTAATGTCATTTGATGGTATAGCTATACTCTTCTATTTCTACTCTAACTAACTCAGACCATCTAACTATCTAACTCTCACTTAGACAGATGTCACACCTTTATCTCATTTTTTTTAATTCATTCTACTTTTGTCCAACTCTAATGTTCAGTTGAGCTGCGGTGAACATGTCCAGTCTATCACCTCAGCCCAGGTGTCCAAACGTGGACAGTTCTCAGCACTCACTGGACCCAGGACTGATAGTACTGAGAGGACTGATAGTACTGAGAGGACTGAGAGATCAGCCTTGGAACTGTTTGGACAGTGTAGCTGTAGAAGCAGCCAGTAGGGTATAAATAAGCAGCCATGTGACATACCCCTCCCCACACTAGATGATGATGAGGATGAGGATGAGGATGAGGATGATGATTGTGTTAATGATGACACAGACGACATGCTGCAGTATGAGAGACTTTATGAACGGGACAATACAGAGAGGTGGACACCTGTCCACAGCACTCACAAACCAACTGACACTTCCTGCTGTTCTTGTTTGTCTGCCCCTGCCTCAACCCCCCCCCCCCAAATCCCCGTTTGTCACTGTCAGTCGAAAGAAGGACAAAATCCTTTGAATGCAATTTTCACATTCTTCTTTGCTTTTCTGTGGAGAAAAAACAACAGAACGACATTTTTGTTTTACAACCTCTGTGTGTGTGTGTGTGTGTGTGTGTGTGTGTGTGTGTGTGTGTCTCACGTGCCTGTTCTCATCACAGAGAACACACTCTGTGCTGTACGTCTTCCCATCACTGCCACACACTGGATCCAACTCTTTGGTGCATGTAGTGTCTCGAAACTTTCCACAGTCTGCCTGAAAACACACACACACACCTCATGTTGAACATGTTAATTATTATATTATTGTTCAAACTACTTGATGTCTTCATAGTGTGAAACAGATGTGTTTTCGCTGTCATAAAAAACAAACAAACATGAATTCTTTGTTTCCAAGTGGAGAGAAGAATATTTCTAAGAATACTGTAGTACAGAGTTGTATATCACTATGTTACTTTTTTTACCTCTCTGAATCCAAGTCCACTATCTTCTTTGTCTTCTTCCAAATCTCCAAACAACTCTGCTGCATTACCATGGTCAACCTGGGCCCAGGTCCCAGTCACCTGGAAGAGGCCTGAACACAGAGTCACACTTTACAGTTAAGTGTGAAAAGAATCGGCTGTAACATCTTCGGTTAGCTCCCAGTGCCACTACGTTATAATGAACAGAAGTTCCTAAAGTAGAGAACACCAGCAGACTCACCCAGGAGCAGGAGAACCACGGTCAAAGTCATGATCAGCTTCATGCTGTAAAGACGGCAGCTGTGTGGTTCACACATTCACACCACAAATACTTTTCTTCTCTTGGTTGCACAACTCTTTGGAGGGAATGCAGTCTTTCTGATTGGCTGCAGTCACATGACACTTTAGACCTGAGCAGTGATTAAAGTTCATCAGCTCAATATAATAAAACCAATATTCCTTTACAACAGGCAGTAAAGTACAGCAGGTGGAGGCGTTGACACCACGTCAGTGTATTCTTTATAAAAACATGGATGTTTATGATGTCACCGAATTATTTACCTAAAAATTAATTCATTCAAACCATCTTTAAGTACTGTGTCTTAGTGGTTAAGGAGGCGGACTTGGGTCTGGAAGGATTCAGGTTCGAGTCCACCAGCTGCCAAATTACCACTGAGCATGGCACCGTCCTCAAACACTGCTGCCCCCTGTTGACTTTGGTGACGCGTTAAGAGGTCACATTTGGTTGTGTGCAGTGGTGCAGTGCCTGTGAGTACGGTTAAAAGGTACTTAGATTGACACCGGAAACTCTATTTGGCCTTATGACCACAAGATGGCAGAAATGATCACATGCCTGCACCACGGTGCCATGCACCTCAGTAGCAAGTTGGCACCTGATGGACTTCCTGAAGTCTTCCGGACCCAAGGCCGCTTTATTAACCGCTAAGCCAACACTGCCCCCGGAAAACGTGACCTGCATTTTCCGGGAGTGAATAAGTGAGTATTGATGACCTCGTTAATTACAGAGCTGTTCAGCCTAAGTTTGTAAAAGCACTGCTCCCCGGGCGCTGACCACGGCTGCCCACTGTTCACTTTGGTGATGGGTTAAATGCAGAGGTTAAATTTCGTTGTGCATGGTGTGCTGTGCTGTGTCACAATGACAAATAAAGATAAGTTTAAGAAGGCAACACATCTCTTCAAATGTGTGCGTGCTCTATGTGTTCAAATCCTATCTAGTGTATCTGATGTCAAACTCGCACTCTTCACAGAGCGCTGCTGGAAGAGTGTGTCAGATCAACACCAACTCTACGCCCACATCGACACACCGTTGCCTCGAATACGATGTCAGCATCACTGATGTTATAAAGGAAACTACCGGAAAAAACAAAACAAAAAACAAATAAAAAAAGTGAAATACAAAGTATTTGCTCCGAACTTAGAGCACGACTACGATTAGTTTATCGAACGAAATTTGGGCTGAGAATCGAATTCATTTATATAATAGATTGAAAAACAGAAACGCGCTAACAAAAAACTAATCGTGGAATCAGGATTCTTTCCTGCCATCCGTTTTTTCTAACCGAGCTGTGATGTCACAGACTCAACAAACGGCCTCGCCCTGTAAATGATTGCTGACCGACTCCTTAACTCAGACTTGAGATAGTCAGATAGAAAGTTAGCACTTTATTAACCCCTCGGAGTTCCCTTTGGGAAATTTAGGAAATTAGGGACCTTAAAACTGCTGGAGGAGCAGGTTTGATCCAGGGAGTATGAAAACAGAGCGATGGTCAGACAATTACAAAAGCAGCATAGCTGAGAAGTTAATTCTTAGTGGTGACCTAATGACCTCCTCACACCCACCCTCACCACCACAGGTCCTACTTCTGCCCTCTGTCCTGGCTGCACCACGATGGCAGACAGTCCAACAACTGGCGTGCCGTCGTAGTCCACCACCCAGATGTTTGTTATATCAAATAGTTTGAGAAGGATCTTCTAGTTCCAGACATGAGGGTGAGGCTCCGTCAGCAGGCGTTCAATGAGGACTGCTGAATCAGTCAGAGTTGTGTTATGTTTTTATTTGTAGTTCTGGAGAAGACCATATTTTGAACAACAGATTTAATAATCATTCAGCTCTAAAGAAAGAGAGAGCGCCAGAGTATCATTCTACCACTGACTGATGCCATCAGCTGCTTATATTGTCGACAGGCAAACTCCTAATCACCATTGGAAAACATAAGAAAACAAGAAAAAAACTTTTAGTAAATAACATCCAGGTTTGCATCAATTATTTCAGAAAGAAAAAAAAAAAGGGGGAGAAGAGTTTTTAGGTTTACATGTTTAACATTTGTGGTAAAAGGAGTGAAATTATCAGGGAGTGAAAGGAGAGAGTCGGTGTACGGAGGGGGGGGTGGAGAAGGGGGGGGGGGTCCACTAACTTCTTAACTCGCATTTCCAAAGAAACCTTACAAAAAGTCAACACTGACAGGAGGACAGAGGGCTGGGATGGAGGGAGGGGTGAGCTTTGAGAGGCGGGGGGGGTTTGGGGTCGAAGGGGGCGCTACAACCTCCACATCCATAAAACCGACTTTTATTTTGGAGTGGAGAGTTTTATTTTATATACAGATATAAATATATAGATCAGACAGCAGACGGAGGCTCGTGTCCATCTATACATTTCCATTACATAGAATTATTACGGAAGGAGAGACACAGACTTTCTGTTTGTCGCTTGTCCAGGAGAAGTCGTGTTGGTCCTGGTCACCAACGCTTCTGAAGCTCTGGGTCAGCAGAGAGCTCTCAGAAACCTGCAGAGACAGACACGGAGACACAGACGGACGGACAGAGACAGGCGCCGTAGTGTTAGCATCATTTCCAACAACTGAACAGACAGATGAGAGGTGAAAGTAGAACTGAAGAGCAGAGGCCAACGCTACAGAAGACAGAGGTCACTGATGACATCATCTTTACTCACAGACAGACACACATACCCTCTGCCAGGGCTTGGATCTGAACCAGCACCCTTCTGATCCTGAGTCTAATCCTGAAGTGGACCATGAGACTGTAGTCCATGACCCAGTTCTGACCCTCTGTCTTTAACCTGGGCTGACTCTGTCGTTCATCTTCTGGTGACCAGACCAGGAGAGACTTCTTCAGACTCCAGTTCCAGCTCCAGTCCATACAGTTGGACGGCAGGTGTAGGTTAAAGGTCAGAACAGCCGGAACACTCCATGACGGCTTCTGACTGACAGCCTGCTGCACCAATTTACACTATTTCTATACTTCATCTATTCTAGTTCTGCTTATACAGATGTAATGTATGTGTGTACGCACGCACACACATATACACATACATGTACATACACACATCTATATATATATATATATATATATATCTATCTATATATATATATATATCTCTCTATATATATATATATATCTATCTATATATATATATATATAGATAGATAGATAGATATGTATATATATAGATATATACACACATCTATATATACATATACACATCTATATATACATACACATATATATACATATATACACACACACACACACACACAATAGAGATAATGTGGTATACCTAGTACACACACACACACATATATCATACTAATTTAATTTAGAATAACAATTGTTTAATAAAAATATAAGAATAAATAATAATTGAGATAACAATCAACAACACACACCAACAATAATGACCTACTAATCAACTATCAACTTCTACTAACTGACTAATCTACTAACATCCACCCATGTGGACATGTGACTCCTGGGTGAAATACTTCACGAGTCTTTATGAGGAAAAATAAACATTGTGTTCTTCATGAGGTCATCAACAGAACTTCCTGTACTAAGCGTTTGTGGAGACCTGAACGCATCGTCTCACAGCTGAGCGTCATGATGGTTTGGAGGAGAGCATCTGAGGTTCTCCTCGTCACATGGACCACACTGGTTCACTTGACCTCAGATAGAACAGTAAGTGTGGCCTTCTGTGGCATCAAGGTCACATGACCCACTGGTCTACAGACTACAGTTCTCTGCTGGTCCGGATTTCCCATCGTTGGTATGTGGCACTTGCTGGTACTGATTGCTCGTGTTCTTTAGTGAAGCCTTTTTATGTGAATGTGTGCAATAATTGTATAAAACCAGATACATGTTTTGATAGTTAAGACGTGATGAAATAAGAACCTCATGATCTTTCCTTGTTCACATGTCTGGAAATCAAATGTCCAATAAAGTACAAAATATGTCTTTAAAACCAGAGTTCAGTTCACTGTAAAGTACTTTCACATGTTAGCTTTAGCTGTTGATTGTCAATAAGTCTCACCATTTCTACAACATGTATACTCTGTGCTGATTGGCTGAAACCTGTAGGTCTTCACATCCTTTGTCACAAAGATTTCATATCTGCTGAGAAGACATTCACTTACCTCTGCAGACATGACTTAAAATGACTTAGTTGACCTATGACCCAGACCATGTTCCCTCCAATGAGCCACACCGGGCCCTGGTCTCAGAGCCAGGTGTGACTCATTAGTGTCACAGCCAAAAGACACATGGGTTAAAAACAAACATCCAGGTTGGAGTGGGAATGTTAATAAAAGAGTGGGAGCCAGGTGACGACAGCTGTCTATCAGAGGGAGGAAGGGGGAGAGGGAGAGAGAGAGAGAGAAAGAGAGCCCACCGACCAGTCCCAACACAGGAGCAGAAGAGCATTACAATAAAGTTAGTAGTCAAATTCCCCAAGGACGTCTTTGCTTCTGCAAGACAGGCCAATTGTATCATGACTGGTCGACTGCTTTTGGTTCTGTTATGGTGCCCTCTTAAACTAAAGATGCTGTTAGGCCTCAATCTTTACCAGGACTAGCCTTCTCTTTGCTTTCAATGTCCAATTTGGTGTCATCTATCTCATTAAGAATGGCCGCTGGGGTGTGGATTTGGTCGTAGATAAAATTAAATCATCCTAAATAAAAAAACCTAAAGCATAAAGGAGCAATTGGTGTCTGTAAAAAACGTCGCTTGGCTGTTTGCTACTAACCTTTCATGTTAGGCTTGGTTTTGTCAGTTTGCTTGCCTGTGGGGGTTTGTGCCTGCTGGCCCTGGCCCCCGGAGGAGGCCCCCTGCTGGGCAGCTTTCTGTTTCAGCATGGTCCAGTCAAATGTGTAATCATACTGGTGGTTCAGAGTCCTGCAAGTCACAGAGTTACTTTTCAGCACATTTCAGAACTGGCAAAAAGAACAGATGGTAAAAAATGGAACACATTTGATCATAATGTTCAATAACCTACACCTGGTTACTGCTGCCAAAAGGAGTCAGTACAAAGAAACTCTGTCCTGCTGCTCATGTGCAGGTGTTTACCTGAAGAGAATACGGAACAGTTGGCGCAGGTACATGTAGTCAGGAGCCTCCTCGAAGCGCAGGCCACGGCAGTAGTTCAGATACATGGCAAACTCTGCTGGGAAGCCCTGTGGAGATGGAGTCAAACATCAGTAAGGACCATGTCAAGAGAGACCAGCTGTCTGGGTGGACACATGGTCTCACCTTACAGAGAACCTCAACAGGAGTGGACATTTTCTTCTCCGAGATCTTCTCATACTTCTGCTTTTTTGTGGCAGCCTGGGAAAGACACAGCCAACGGTAGTGTTAGGAGTCGCACAGTACTGAGTTAGAGTACTGAGCACATACTTTACTTTACACGTATACGACTTCAGGATGATCATTTACCTTTAGTCCCTGCCATGGAAGACTGGTTCTGTTGAAGTACATCAACACATAGCCTAGTGATTCCATGTCATCACGGCGACTGAAAACAACAAGATCATGTGATGAGTTTCTTAACACCATCTGTCATGACGGTAAAGTGTTTGAATGAGGTGTGTGGTGTATCTTACTACAAGGTAGTGAATTATAGCAATATAATAACAAGAATGTTCACAAACCTCTGTTCAATGCCAAGGTGAGCGTTGATGGAGGCGTAGCGTGCTGTTCCAGTCAGGTTCTTGTCTTCTCTGTACGGGATGTGCTGCCGTGTTCGGTTGTCTCGGTATTTCTTGGCCAAACCAAAGTCAATAAGGAACAACTGTTTCAGAAAAACGAAAAACACAAAAAAAGACTGAGTCAGAGACATCCAGACGGAAAGTTCTAGACCAACTGCTATGTCCGGTAGCAACAGGAGATTTTGTCTGGGTTCACCAGGTTCCAGAGACAACTACACACACCTGAGGCCAATGACAGCAGTTTGGTGACACTGTGGTAAAGCTTGTGTTTTTGAACAGAGCTTTATGCAACACTGAAGGTACAAAGAAAATGAAATCATTGTTCATTTGACATTTTTGTAGAGATAACCAAAAAAGACGGAATAGATTTTAAAAAGTCTCCAAAATGACTGACAGCCAGTGTCAGAGCACGTCAACTGTGATGGTCTGTCCAGACACATGGAGCTCATTGTTCTGTTCCGTCATCCTTAGACACTGGGGAAATGTACAATGATCTCATTTATGGAGCAATCGTATTAAAAACATTATTTTGACAGGATTCATTCATGTTCTAGGATTCTTCACTGTGATTGTCCTACAGGTTACCGACACAGGATTCTAACTGCCTGACGTGACATTGTTACATTAATCAAAGCAGCAGCAGCAGTAGCTTTTAACAGAATGGAAGTATTAAACACTGCACATGAGTGATGTCACTGTCACACTCTGCACATGAGTGACGTCACTAGGGCTGTAATCAACCAAAGAAAGTCTTGTTGACTGAAGCTGTGAATTGTTGACTGATGATCAGCCTTTTACGGGTTGAGGTGGGGCTATTTGCCTAATGTTAAATCGGTTCTAACCTAATTTTTGCTCTGAAATCTCACACTCGAGTCTGTCGGCTCTGACAGTGTTTTGCCTAACGTGAATCTGTGCAATATGATTTCCAAAAATGTATAAATACGTCAACTAGTGGCATCACAACAAGAACTGTTGAGGAATAGTTACACACTTGTTTGAGTCATGTTATAATAATTCACAGACACCTTTATTCCACTCATGTCCTCGCACAGAGAAGCAACCTAACAGACAGGTTAGCTTACCGTTGTTAGGTGACATGCAAGCTGTTGCTTGTAAACCTGTCACTTGACCCTTTCCGTTATTTACTATGTAAATTGCTGCCACACGGTGGATGTCTTTGCCATGGTAGAGCAGACTGACTGTAAATCAAGCAGACAATATTAAATAAATATTCTACAAACCACCGGACCTTGGTTTTAATATGTTCTTTAAGCCATCTGTCTGCAGGTTAGGCTAATCCAAAACAGTGTTCTAAAGCACAGATTACCTGTAAAACGGGGTGCTGTGAAAACACCCCTGTTAGCACTTAGTACGTTCCTTGTAATGAAATGAACACTTCACAAAAAAAAAAAAAGACCAATCCAAATTTTGGTTGAGTGAGAACATATGAACCAAAAAAAAAAAATCAAGCAGTCAACTGGGAGATTACAGCCCTAGATGTCACTGTCACACACTGCGGATGCATCAACTGTGACCATGGTTGATCAGAAACTATAAACATCTGCTGTCACTGCTGTAAACCCAGACTACAGCTCTTCTACCAGACGTTAGAAAATATATCCAGGTGAAACACAAGTGAAACCATGAGTCACAAGTCACAAAAATATTCAAAATGATGTCAAGCTGGCCGTATCGAACTAAAGGTCTGGTTTAGACATGGATGTTTGCATGTTTATCTACATGTAATCCAGAGTCGGGTCCAAGAGAGAGGACTGATGGGAAAATAAACTGGTACAAAGACCACAGACATTCACACTCCGACAAACATACACAGCTGCAAATATAAGACTGTTGTTTAAGAGACAACGCTGGATACATCCACAACAATATAGTTGTCACTTTAAAAATAATCCTAATGTTGAATGAATGTCTGCAGCTTTACTCTCCAGTGGTCAATAAAACATTTTCCTGAAAGCAGTTACAAATGTCTCAACTTTCCATGCACTAACAGAACATTTGAATGTCAGATGAGGAGCAGCCAGTGTCAGTGGCAGATTCTCAGTGATGTGATATTTGCATCCAGCTGAAGACAGCCAAGTAGAAAATAGAAAAAAATCTAGTTAGGACTGATTATAAACAAATGGATAATCTAGTTAAGGGGAGGTAGACAAGCATGTGTGCACAGTTATTGAACAGGTGAACCTGTGTGCTCATGCAGGGAGTAGTACATGTCAATATTGAACCAATAACTTCTTCTATGTCCAGCTGGTGAGAGATGTTTGGAGCTGCTCTGCAGGAAGACGGGTGAAGGTGACAGGTGAAGACTTCTTCTGATTGGTCGACTACACTGACCTCAGTCTTCTCTGTGTTCTCTGTGTACTGAGCCTCTGTATCTTCTCTTCATCTTCCTCACACACGTACAGTAAAGATTCTTTTTAGGTGAAGTAAAGGTTTCATACTTTAAAATCCCTAGCTGCACAAGTTCAATTCTACGGAGAAGAATTGAACTTCTATGGAGTTCAGGGTATTTAGGCCTGGTGTGGGGCATAAAGTATGGGATCAGAGGAGCAGGAGAAACAACCAAACCAAATCACCACTGTTTGAAACTCTTTCCTCTGTCCTTGTAATAGACTTCAGTGTGTGGAGAGCTACATGGTTAAATTATCATGAGTGCAGGATGGGTGCTGATGGCCGATGACTTGTTATAAACGTATGTGGTAAGGTGTGATTGCTGTGGTGAGGCAGCTGGTGTTGTGGTAAAGGTCACACCTGGTTTAATCCTGAGAAAGATGGGTCCTGAGAAGAGCTAACAGCCAAGCTTCTTTTCCTCTTCCCCACTGACGAGTCTAAACACTAGGGCAGACAGTAGAGGGGCAGGGGTCAAAATCACACAACCTCTATCCACCTTTAGTCACAGATTGCATGAGTACAACAGGCACTTAATGGTTGCACTCACATTTGCTTCCCTACAAGTACAGCTTTAAGTTCTGCAGAGGTTCAACAGGAGCCTCTGTTTGTACATGAGGGAAGTTGAAGGTTGTGCAAGATGGAGATGCAGTGGTTGACCAAATATACCAAACATGTATGTATGTGTGTGTGTGTGTGTGTGTGTGTGTTTATTGATTTATAGGATACAGCCTTTACATCAGTCAGACTTTCTTCAGCTCATATGAACAGCATGGACAGTGTCAGCCTAGGTGATCCATCAGGACATGTTAACTCAGTGACAATGATACACAGCTGTGGCTTTGTTCAGACTGTTGTGGACTGGATAAAGTAAAGGTAACAATCGGTTACTAACCAGTACATTGTTAACATTAGGATGTGGCCAGGATTTACTGTTGACACATGGACCTACCTGGACTGTTTACTAACAATGGACAACACTACACCAGCAGCAGTAACAATGTAACAACAGGACCATGTCACCGCAGAGCTTAGAAGAAGTTACACACAAAGCCACAGCTGGACCAGGTCCCAGAGAACTGACCCCAGGAACTGTTCTTTTACTGGTTAACCCTAAAACCACAGTCAATAAGTGATCAACAAAAACAAAAACAAGTCACAGTGGGTTTGAGCTCGTGGTCACTTCATGACCTGCTAAAGCTGATGTTCAATGTTTCCTGAACTCATCAGGTGGGTCATAAAATATTCATACTGATAAAAACAGTTAAATGCAGAATACCAACAGTCAAATGGCTCCGTTTTGGTTGTAACTGAGTTTTCCGGTGGTGATGGCAGTACAGCCACAGACCGTGGACAGTCTCAGCAGTGACAAAATGACTGACATGTGACTAAAGACACTGACCAACACACCCCTCAGTACTGAGCCAAGACCTGTGTCCACTCTCTCTTCCTGTGTCAATAAGTATTTCACATCAGTAGAACAGCTCTTACCAAAACTGTCAAAGGATCTGCTGACTCAGGCATTCACAGTGAAGTAACACAATGAGCTCCAGTGGATCTATCGTAATATTAACGAACCACCACCAAGTTGACTGTTCATGAACTAATATAAACATGTTCTTTGATGGTAGCTGAACTATCTAGAGACGGACACGGACACACACACACACAAACACGGTTGTGAACAACAAACACTCAGAACTGGAACTCCTGAGACCATTTCCAACCACTCAGACAACTTTACGGCCTGACAGACAACATTAGTAGTTACATCACGTGTGTGCGATTCAAAGGTCAAAGGTCCAGTGTTTGATTTCATGGTGAGCAGGACAAAAGTGTTCTGTCTATTGTCTATTTCTTTAAACGACAGACTGTCAGGCTAACAGGAAGTTAAACAACTCCTTGATGGGAATTAAGAACAATTATATTTGTGTTGGTATAGATATTTTACTTTAATTCAACAGAGCAGTACACAGATGCACTGTGCACACCAAGTACACTGGTGCGTCTACGTGTCTCTCTGCTGTTTTATGAATGAAACTAAATCGTCACAGTATGGTTCCATCACTGTGTCTCTTGTATTTATTTATCTAGTGACATGACAAACATTGAAGCCACCCATAACTGACTTTAATTTTATTCATTTTTTTTCTGATGACAACACAATGGCTTTTACTCACTTTTGCCCCATTGGCCTAATAATAATAATAATAAATAAATAACAGGTAAAAAGGTGCATTACACAAGTTTAAAAATAAGGCACTGACCCAAGCTACATTCAAATGTCTGTAAACACAAACTGGAAAAGTGAGAAAATATCCACAGTGTGGCAGCATTTTACAAGAGTAGATAATGCAAAAAAAAAAAAGAAGAAAACTTGTGAGCATCAGTTAGCATATCACAGCTCAACTAAAAACATGACATGTCACCTAACAACAGGAAGGTAACTTTTCTGAGTTACGTTGCCCCACCCATTTTGAGTATATGAACATATCAGATTTGTTATATACCAATGCCACTTGAACACAGTGGGAGCACTTGATTACAACGAGGCTGAGGAAAATATAGATCATACATTATCGGGGCTTTTCTTTTTTTTGTTTATAGGACTTATTGAAATGACATCATAGTCTGCTGATAACGGGCCGATAATTATCGCGCACCCCTAATTTACATGTGGGTAGAACTGATGTACTTGGCCACCAACCTGTCCACACCAGTACACAGTACTATTTAAAGAACCTACTGTAGGTCTACGTCAGTTTCAGATGTTAAGGAAATACTATTAACAGAATAGTTTTTGGCACACCTGGGAAACAATATACTAGTAGTTCATAAAGATACGTAAAAGCAAAATGTACAAATGTTCAGGCTGGATAATCCAGAAGAGATAATCTGAGGTGTCGTTTCAGTGACGGCTGACAAATAGAGCAGGCAGTGAGGAGACCAGCTCCAAAGCCTTAAATACTTTCTATTATTAATTGAGGCTGCTCCCAAACAGGACCTCAATTGATTTATTTAGGATTAACACAATAATGTTCATGTGCAGACACACAAACACGCATACTCATTTTTCAACCAATCCTGTCTTCTCACCAATGGCTGTACTTTAACATAATCCCTGTTTTTATGTTCCATTTAAATGTTTAAATCGAACAAGGTCTTTAGCTCACTTCATGAATATGTTCTGACTGTGGAACAGCCAACTGAACATTTTAACCAATAAGTCAACTGTGGGCTCAACCTAGGGTTCAATGAATAAACACAAACAAATAATGAGGTCACATGAAGGAACAGAATGTTCTAGCACAGTCTGACATGTGTGACAACAGAAGGTCGTAGAGAATATACTAAAAGATGTCAATCTCCATTAGGACTTCAACAATCTGACATCTCTGAGATCAGAGGAGGAGCGGGGTGGGTGGGGCTACTATTGATGTTGAATGGTATTAAACTAGTTTAATTAAACTAGTGCTTGACCATGTATGAACCTACCTGTTATTTGACACTCAATTATGAATACACAATTATACTAATTCATCCAAATAATACACAGCTCCAGATGTTGATGTTCATTCTAAAACAGTCATGCGAATTCAATGACTGGAAAGTGTTCAACCTTCCTACCTCCAGGTGTCACTGCAGACTCCTGTGAAAATGTGTCCCAGAGAAGATTACTGATACTCTTATGTTTACATCCCTTAATAATCAACAAAAAGTGATTGAAAACCATGGAGAGTGAACAGAAGGTGTTTGGGTTCAAAGCCCATTCACTAAGGTTAAAAGTGTACAGTATTCTGTGAAGCAGTACGTTTTACTAACTCTCTGTTGAAGACAGTTCTGATGTGCTTATAATCTCAGGAGTATAATAATAGGTACTGTGAATGTATGCACTACTACTGTCTCTGATGCTCAGAGATTTATAACTCATTAAAAGATTTAATCCAATCCAGTTATTCACAATGTTGTCGTTGAATGTGTTATTACACATTAAAATGTATAGAAAGTTATTTGTTTTTGTGCAGAGGCTTCAGTAAAATGTTTTGCTGCTTGTAGGTTTAAAAATAGGCAAGGTTGAAGGCAGTGATTGTGGCCCTGACCCTCCAATGAACACAAAGAAATGTCAAGCCAGCCTGAAGAACTACATGATGTAAATGTGGTTGATGAAAGGGTTCCAACAAGTTTACCATCACAACCAAATGAAGGTTACAGAATCCAGAATGATGTTATTGATTATTAGTGTAGAGCATTATTCTTACCTTATTACAATGACGACCAATGCCCATAAGAAAGTTGTCTGGTTTGATGTCTCTGTGGATGAAATTCTTTGTGTGTACATACTCAATTCTGCTGATCATCTGCAGACAGAACACAAAGATTCGACTGAAGACATTTAATCATATTACACCAGATTAAAACACATTAGACCAAACTAATGAGCCTCGCCTTCAGGTCCCTGAAACTGGAGTATATTTTCCCTCACTTATTAACTTGTTTTAATAAAATAAGGCTGAACATAATCATTATAATCATCATCAATCATCATTATAATTTTGCAGATCAACCATTAGCTTAAACAAAACAACAATAAATTAAATTGGATTCTGTAATGGTTTACCACAAAAAAACAAAAACAAAATTGCAACATAGTATAGAAAATGTATAAAATGTGTCCTTTTTAAATGTTTTACAAAATCAGTTATCCAACAAAAGCCAATAAAGTGTCATCTCTATATCGGCGTCTTATCTGTTCACACCAACACATCCGAGTCCAAGTGAAAGTGTTTAATGTTGTCACTGTTGTTTCATTTTGGAAAAAAATCACTGCTGCTGTGACATGGACAAAGAAAGGATTGTTGTGATGATCACAGTACACCTCCATGTACTGTGTTCATTGAGGTGTTGGCTGTAGGTAATTCATTTTATTATATTTACTGCATATAAATACTTTATCAGGGCACACCTTCTTAATCAAGCACAGCTTCTGTGTTTATTGCTTTAGTCAACAGTACCGGGGGGAAGGAGAGGGGGAGTCAGGGAGTGGATTAAGTACCTGATCTGCCAGCATGAGAACTGTCTTCATGGTGAAGCGCCGAGAGCAGAAGTTGAACAGATCCTCCAGACTGGGCCCCAGCAGGTCCATGACTAGGACATTGTAGTCCTTCTCCTGACCATACCATCTAGTAATACAAAGGGAGGAGGGGGTTATGGTTGAACATTTTTGAAAAGGGAAACTCAAAAGTAACAAAGATGTTTGAAAGTCACAAAAGTGCTAGTGGGAAAAAGTCAGCAGTCAACAGTAGAAAGTACAACTGGTTGTGATTGTATGAATTCTGACAGGCTGAGGGAGGGGCAGCAGGACTAGCAGGTTAGACAAGCTCTGACAAGACTGTTGCAACATTAAGCCACCGCTAATATTCATCAACCTTTGAACAGTCAACCTTCTTTTATCATTACCTAATAATTGGTCTGGTGACATTAAAACAAGGTTTTTAAATAGTCAAAATCTTGTTAATGTCACATTCTTTATTATGTCTTTCTGTAACTACACACAGATGTACACTAAGGCACACCAGAGGTGTGAGAAATGAGTAAGAGTTTTAATCAAGCCTGAATTTAGTATATGTAATGACTGGAGAAACGTTTCTGTGAAGAAACATAAAACATTGCTGAAAAAACAAACAAAAAAGAACCATGTGACCCATAGATATACACAAAGAATATTATAATATTAAATTATTTAAACAGCAATTTGGAGATAAGAAATTAAATAACTTTTTTGCATTTTTCTGTGTATTCTGTATCACATGTATGTCTATTATGTAATCTCATAGACACATTTAAAAAAAGAAACTTTTTGCCATATTTTCTTCCAATGAAATGAAGGTGGTGTCCTCTAGATCACATATGTACCAATTTGACAAGATTAAGGTCCCCCAGGAGGGCTACAAAGTGTCACTATTGTAAAGTGTTTTTAAAATATGGCATAAGTAAAACATTTTAACACTTTGGTTCAAAGAGAAGAGTTT